TTTATATATATTACGTATAATAATATTATATTTATGTTTTATATAGAGAGTGTCTGGAATTTAAATGTCACAACTTGTGTAGAGGATCGATAAACTAAGAAAAAGAGTCTTGTAAAGATATGCTCGTTTTTGCTTCGTTTTGGAGAAGATTACAAGGAAGACAAAACATAGTTTTTGTTTTTATACTTTTTTATTACTTATTCATGTTGCATTTATTTACTTGCTTAATGTAGATATTGTTTAAAATGTTGGCCTCTTGCAGGAACGCAAGCCAAATACTGATCTAGTGATATTTAATGTACTGGTAGCTTCGATTCGATTTCTCAATTGTTCTCAATTGTTGATTGTGTCTTTCTTCATTCTTAATGCTGACATTTCGTGAACTATGCCGTTCACTTCATCAGGACGAGGAGTGCATTGATACTACAGGATTTTTTTTCTTAGTTTTTTGATCCCTTATACACTCCCGAAGTTTTGACATTTAAATTCTGGACACCTTATATATACATACATATACGTATATGTATATGTATACGCAGAGTGGCCCATCAAAAACGAAACAGACTGAATAATTCCTACAAAAATTATTTTTCGCAAAAACAGATCGATTAGTGTTGGGAGAAGAACATCTTTTGACATATAATTCTTACCCTCAACCTCCTATAAGCGGGGATGCCAATTCCTATAAAATTTCAAACAGGAAGGGGATCAAATGATATCTCAGAAAGATTTTTCAATTCCCTACGTTCTTAACTACGTTCTTAAATACGATTTTTTAAATTTGATCAGTTGGTTTAGAAAATACAGAGGCTTAAATCTAAAAAAAAAAAATAAATGTTTATGTCTTCAAACTTTTTTCTTTATTATCTATTGAATCAGCCCATTAATAAGTTGCAAGGAATGTCTAAACCATTGTGTAATTTAGTGTAGTAATTTTTCGAAATATTAACCATCGATTTCCATACAATAATAGAGATTTGACTTTCAGTAGCAAGGTCTGAAGACATTCAAAGTTTTATGAACTTCGATCGTTACTTCCACTGTGCTTCAATATTTTGATTGTTTATTTTGTATTCGTAATATTAAGAATCTACAAGTATTAGCAACCTACCAGGCTTTCTTCAGTGTCAAAGAAAGAGTTGAAATGATTGTGTTTTTTTTTTGGAAATAATGATGTGCTAATAGTACAGATGAACTATTTAATCAAAGATATGCAAATAAGCATATCAATCACAAGTATGTTTTGGAGTTAATGGCAAAATTTAAAGAGACTGGATCCGTTAAATACGAGACAATTGGTTACTGCATCTGGTGTTAGTTGAACTGGTATTCAACTAATTTTGAAACATTACAAATTCCATCCATTTGGATTTAACACTCTGTATCTTTTAAACGAATTGATCAAAAAAAATCAAACGTAGGAATGTAAGGAACTAAAAACTATTTCTAATGATGTGTTATTTGACCCTTCCCCCTTTCATTTAAAATTTCTTAGACTCTAAAGTTGAGAATAACAATTATAAGGGAGGGGGTTATCACTTAATGTAATCGTGGGACAGAGTTCCCAAAATCTTTTAAAACTTATATGAAATTTCTATGTATAATCCGATAATTATATGTGCACAAGAAAACATTATAATATTAAATAAAATCGTTTATTTTACCACATAACTTTATATATAGTAAAAAAATTATTTAAAATTAAATAAAATTGAGTGGAATTAAATAAATTATATAATCTGTGGGATAATATTTCAGTTAGTGATTACTCTCTCGATTATAAATCAAAAGATATCCTCCTCTCAACATAAATCGAACTATTTTTGCGTTTTTTCAAAAAACCATTTTTATGGAAGTTATTCAGTCTGTTTCATTTTCGATGGACCACCTTGTATATGTTCAGACTATTCGTTTCGTTGGCACTGCTCTACTTACTTTCTTACTTTCTAGAAATATAGGCATGTTCTTATCACTATTCGCTGTCGCATTCAATGTACAATGGAAATATACAGCATATATTTTTCTATCCCGTGTTTTCAAATAATTCTATTCGTATACATTATATACGTTATAGTTGCATTAACATTTTGCACGTTCGACAATCACAGTTTATTTCTATAGTTATAAATAATGACTTTAACTCTTTCAAGTAAATTTTTTTCATTATCGGCAAATAAGCCAAGAATATATATATGAACGGTTAGAGAAGACGTCTCAAAAAGATGCATTCGTATTTCATTTATAGAATTAATAAATTCTATTTATTATCTGTGTACATTGTATGTATTATGAAGATACCAAAAGCTTTGCGAGTTATCGTCATATTTTTATCTATTGCTAATGCCAACGTTCGTGAATCTTACTTCATTAGAATAAGAAGCGCACTGATATTGAGCTAATTCTTCGAAGAACTTCTTTTATATAGACGCTCTTGAGGGGGTACTGAACTAGTTCTGAAATGATGCAATATGTTAAAATGAAACAAACTGTAGCTATCTCACTTTAACTTATTGCACAAGAGTTCTTATTGCACTTTAGTTCAGAACTTGGGGTGGAAAAGAACAGACCTATTGTAACTTGAATTTCTATTCAAATTGTCTGGATGTTTTTCTGTAAAATCTTCTGTATTTTAGAGCCTCTTTATACTTCCTTGTGTGACATATTTCAACTTGATATTTCGTTGATGTTCCTTCATGCGCTGAAATAAAAAACACACAAGAACACAAAGACCTGCGCTCAGTTCCACAGGAGTATATGAAATACCTTGCTCTTGTGAGAAGATGAATGGCAACGTTCACGAAGTGTTGGTATTAGCAATAAATAAAAACTCGACGATAATCTGCAAACCTTCTGATATCTTTGAGAATAAATTCTCGTTTGACACAAGCACATTTTTTATAGACATCTTGTATACAATAGATTTAGTCCTCAATATATAATGTACAAACTTAATTCTACGTTTAGTGGTAGAAATGCAGTTTAAGTTTAAACTATTAAATTATTCACAATCAGTCTGCCATTGTTGGATAATAAAAATTATTTGAACAGAAAATCATTATGGCAGTAGATCAGTCTATATAAACATAAAATTTGCTCTGATACTGCTGTTCGAACAAACAACTTATATAATTAATTTGATTAAAAGAATTTATCGATTTATAAATCTCATTTATATATATATAGATTTATAAAATATTTAATTATGTACATACATAACACGCACACGCACACGCACGCACACACAC